CAAATTCGACTCAATCCGAGCCCAAATGAGTCCAAATCAATGACCTGAAATGTTGTTGGAAGGCTCGAAACACAATTTGGGTTACCAAACGGTTTCCAAACATTACGTGCTTATAGTCAAATCGAGCAGCTCGGCAAGACGAACCCAACGAGCTCAAGATCATCGATTTCCAACATATTTAATACATTTAAATGTCCATCAAACGGGCCATGATCAAGGGATTCAACATCGCTCGTCCATCTAACCACTCCCCATTTACCCTTGATCTTTTACATATTTACGGGTCATGCCACTCCATAAATCTATAAATAAACCTCTCATCCCTCTTGAAATGGGGATCTAAGCAAGAAGAGATGAAGAGAAGAGAAGGAAGAAGCTCCACCTCGACCACCAAACTTGACGTCGTTGCTCTGCCGGACCACCACTTGAGGCTCTCACATCCACCGAACCACTACCTAATGTTGCTGCTCCGCCGGTCCACTACTTGAAGCCCCCACCTCTGTCGAACCACTGCCTAACGCTGGAGTTCCGTCGGACCACCACTTAAGGGCCTAAGCTATGTCGGACCACCGCCTAACATCGTTGCTCCGATGGACCACCACTTGAGGCCCTCACCATCGCCGAACCACCGCGTAACGTAGTTGCTCCGCCGAACCACCACTTGAGGCCCTCACCTCCGTCGGACCACCGCCTAACGTTGTTGCTCCGCCGGACCACCGCCTAACGTTGTTGCTCCGTCGGGCCATCACTTGAAGCCCTCACCTCCATCAAATCACTGCCTAACGTTGCTACTCCGCCAGACCACCACTTGAATCCCTCACCTCCGCCGAACCACCGCATGACGTTAGAGCTCCCTCGGACAACCACTTAAGGGCCTAAAGCTCCGCCGGATCACTGCCTAACGTCTTTGCTCCACCGGACCACCACTTGAGGCCCTCACCTCCGCTGGACCACCGCATAACGTCGTTGCTCCGTCGGACCACCACTTGTGTCCCTCACCTCCGTCGAACTACCGCCTAACGTCGTTGCTCCGTCGGACCACCACTTGAAGCCCTCACCTCCGTCGAACCACCGCCTGACGCCGGAGTTCCGTCGGACCACCACTTCAGGGCCTGAGCTCCACTGGACAACCACCTAACGTCGTTGCTCCGCCGGACCACCACTTGAAGCCCTCGCCTCTACCGAACCACCGCCTGACGCCAGACCACCACATAACGTCGTTACTCAGCCGGACCACCACTTGAAGCCCTCACCTCCGTCGGACCACCGCCTGACGTTGTTGCTCCATCGGGCCACCACTTGATGCCTGGACTTCCATCGAATCAACACCTGAGGCTCAAACTTCCGCCGAGCCACCACCTGTGGCCCGGACTTCCATCGAACCACCCCTTGACGCCCGGACTTCTGCCAGACCACCACGTGAGGCCCAAACTTCTATTAGGGCACCACCTGATGCCTAGAGTTTTACCATAGTACCGCCCAACTACAACGATCTAATGGACCCCTGTCCATCACCAAGCAACGGTCCTCCCGACCTCCGTCTCCTACTACGGTCCTTGCGACTTGCATCGCCAGAAAACGATCTTTCTGACCCCGGTCTCCTGTCAACTACGATCTTTCGGACCTTTGTCTACGACCGACTGCGGTCCTTCTGATCTCTATCACCTACTATGGTCCTTCCGACCTCCATCACCAAGCAACGATCTTTCCGGCCTTTATCCTATATACTATAGTCGTGCCGACTAAACAAACATGTATATATTGTAACTCTCACCATGTAAGGCGCCATATATGATGTACATTTGTACCATCAAGCCAAGGACTTTTCTCAAGGAAGGTCCTCAACTTTAATCGACAGCAAATTCTAGTGGATTCATTTCAAACTGGGCAAGACCCCGTAGTTTTTTTCCCCTTTTCAAGATTTTCCACGTAAAAACTATGATGTCTCTTATAAAAGCTACACCCTCTCTCTTATCTGATTGTGTGATGGATCTTCGTACAACGCTAAGACGCTAAACTTTATATTTCTCTAATGCTGCGAATACTCTAGGACGCAACAATTACGTAGATCGAATTGATGATCATGTAAAATATCAACAAGCTTCGCATTCAAAATAAATATAATTATACAATGCCAAATTAAAAAGATCCAAAATAAATAAAATTTATAATTTTTAAAATATATTTGACGGGCAAGATTTTAAGAAGGGACTTAATTAAAAAAATCTATACTACTATTAAAGTGTCCCACACATCATCCTGGCCGTTAAAAAGTTTAATCTTTATATCCATCGTTCATTCTCTTAACCATTTATCCTCATCTACTTGCGAATCAAAATCCAGCTTTTATTCTTTCAATCAACACATCCATCCTCATTTCCCTTCGCATCCCCGCAATCCTCATTCGTTCCTATCAACGCATCCCTGCTTGAAATGGCGCCGTTCTTACCTTGTTATATACAACTTCATGTACTCGTCATCAAATATCCTGCTGCCTGCGCCTGTTCTGCTTGCAACAAACATCCCCTTTTCAAAAGGTAAAATTATTAACGCCTCTTTTGAATTTCTCCAATTTTTTTTTTCTACGTCTGCCTTGTTCGTCTTTCGTTGTCGTTCGGGTTTCGCTCGCCAAAACAAACTGTCTCTCGCTCTTTTTTCTCTCGTCGAACGCAGCATTGCACAAGTTTGCCGAAGTCCCACGACTTCGCATCTTTTAAAATTTTTAGGGTTTCAAGTCGCAAACCTCTCTGTCTGCTTTGTCCACCTACTTTTTTACATACCTCATCTTCTTCTTCGTCATTGCCGATTGCTTTTGGATTCGACATTCACCAATGTTTCTCCGATTGAGGTAAACGAAATCATCTTTGTCAATAAATGATTTTTTTATCCACTTCTTCTATTGGACATATTTTCATTTTCAATAAATGAAATCAACTTTGTTAGTAAATGATTTTCTTATCAACTTTGTCATTTAATAAAGTTGATTCCGTTTACCTCTCCGATTGGTAAACTTCCTCATTTCTTTGTCATTCACCACTTCTTCCTCGATGCCAGAGAACCTTCGGGTTGACTGGAAGATAAGGGAACATGCATCAATCCAGTATTGCGGATGGAAATGAAAAAAACGATAAATGTGGAAGCAAAAACTAACTACGATAGTTAAACATAAAGTTATGTGCGAGTTGAATAAGAAATTTGAGAATAATTTTTTATCTTTGTTTTAAAAGCTTTCAACAATTAGTAGTTCACATAAATCTTTGGTTGTGGAGAAAAAATGTAAGAGCATTATGACTTCTTGTAACTCGACTCGACTCGACTCGTTTACACCCCTAGTTGGAAGCTAGCTGATGATTGAGGAAGGTCATGATAATCTTTTTATGAAAATAGGAGAAGTGAGGGCTATCGACACGAGAAAAAAGATTTATGGAGATAGGAGAAGTGAGAAATAAATGCAAAATGGCCCTTTGAGTGTGGCTAATAATTTTTTTTTTTAATAATCCAGTCACACATCCAACAAATAAAGAGATAGGTCATAAGTTCTTGATCTTTGTTATCACAGTCAGGGCTCATCGCAATAAGTTTCAATTAAACCTGAGACTATAATGCAACTATTGATAATCCTAAAATATTGTTTTATGTTTTCTTTAACGACAAGTTTGTTATTAGTGTTGATCACAAACCTGAAGCATTAATGTTATTTCAACTAAAATTGATTACAAAGGAAAATAAATTTTTGTTAATGTATCTTGATACAATATTTTAATCACGATATTTTAAATTTCTTTTATTTTTTGTCTTTTTTTTTTCCATTTCCCATCTTCCGCTCATTTATGCTACTTCTTGAGTTTTGCTTTTCTCCTTAATAAGAGTTTTGAAAGATTCGCTAAAAAAGCTTCTTTGCCTTCTTCTACGATATTCTTATTGTTGGATTGGATTCGTGTGCTTCGCTTGAGGAAGAGTTTTGAAAGAGTTGGTAAGGAAAATTTTCCCTTCTACACTTTGTTCCGATCGGATAAGAAGTCACGATGGAAGCTCACCGTGAACATAATGATCTTTTTTTATAACTTGAATGCATTACTCTGTAAAAAATCCATTATTTATTTATTAAATATTTTGATCTTTTTGCTCTTTCCCTTTTTGTCAAACTTGAATGCATGATGCAATTATATTAATATGATGGAAGCTCACCGTGAACGTAATGATCTTTTTCTATAACTTGAATGCATCACTCTGTAAAAAATCCATTATTTATTTATTAAATATTTTGATCTTTTTGCCCTTTCCCTTTTTGTCAAACTTGAATATATGATGCAATTATATTAATATGTTTATTTTTTTAATGATTATTGCCAATTGATAGGGCCAATGCTCAACAACCAAAGCTCTTTGTGGGAATGATAGGTTTTTTTTTTTTTTATGAAGGTCTTACTCTTTATGGTCTAATTATTGGAATCATTCTCTCTTCTCAAGCAGGTCAATCTCGCACAGACTAAGAGAGGAAGTCCTTAACTTTGGTTTTTCATTCTTCACGGTTTCTTTTTATGTTGATTCGAAAGTACGCTATGCCGAAGGATTTAATTTAAATTTGGATTCTATTATGATTGTAGTTACATCTTAATTGTCATCAGCATTCCTTTCTAATGAGTTGTCAAGTGTAGTACTTATTTTTGACACTTTTATTTTAGGAGTGTCTCCAGCTTAATTGGCATGCATGTTCTCTGTTACCAGTTTAAATATGTTTTTTATATGTGATGTATTATATCCAAATTTGTTTGGTGAGAAGTTATTGAATCATGCTGTTCTTTGTTTTTAAGCAAAGGCGTGTTCTCTGTTTTTCTTGGCAATTATCAAACTGATCAAGATGCTTTCAAGTTTTTTTTTTTATATAACTAAAAGGAATTGCTTAATCTTATATTATTTAATTTCTACGCATTCATGCTTTTCATTTGAATGAGAAACTTCAAAACTGTTATGATAGTTCATGTGTACAAAATAATATGTAGCTGGAAACATTAATGTGTGATGATTATTGCTAATAATTTCATTTTTTCATTATTTTAATTAAAAAAGATTGCACTTGGAGCATTTGCATTGAAGGCCAATGCTCTCGAACCTCAACCTTCGAGCACCAATGTGAATGCAAACTGGGACACAACATTTGTTGACCTCGATTTTCGTTCAAGAGCCCTTGAGCGCGTTCTATCAATGCGATTAGACCTCGTCGAGCCTAATTCGAACTCGAATCGATCCGAATTGAGTCAAATTAGATTCGATCATGTTCAATCAAGCTCGAATAATTTGTTTTGAATGTGACGAGTTCAATTTGACCCAAATCTATCTCAATTTGAGTTTAATTTTATTTAATTGAATTGATTGAGCCTAATCCCAATTCTAAACCAAGTCAATTTGAATCAAACCTAGCTCAATTCAGCCTAAGATAACTCCAATTTGCTTTTTAATAAATTTGAATTGATTTCCTAAATGGAGAAACTGCCAATTCTGGTCTTGATCTCTCCGAAATTCGGACTCTACTGTGGCAAAGCTTCTCAGTCGCGTGATACACTCGTTTTAGAAACGAGGCAGAGTCGCGTTAGCACAGTTCAGCGAGCAGAGGCTGTTTTGGTGTTTAGAGAGGGGCAGAATGTCGGGAGACTTTAGAAGGCTGGGACGAAGCCTTCGGTTGGCGGATTCGCACTCCCTCCCTCTGGCTCTCGGTCGCTCGTTCCTAGACCGAGATCTCTTCTCCCCCTCTTATCTCTCTGGTTCGCAGAACCCCAGCAAGACCGAACGCACGACTCTCCCCCTCTCGGTTTTCGCATAGCCTAGATCGGAAGACCACCGCTCTCTCCTTCTCGCTCTCGCACGGTCGGAGTCAGACCTCCTCCGCCTTGGTTCGCGACAGGTCCGAACGCCCTAGCTTCTCCCCTCTCGGCTTCGCGCGGTCCAGGACCGAACCTGACGAGCCGACTTCCCTCTCTGGCCGTCTTCTCCTCACGCCGAGACAAGAAGCAAAAGTCTCGGCTCCCTTTCGACATCTCTGGTTCGTGAAGCCCAGGCCAAAACTCTTTCCCAACTCCCTCACTTGATCGTAAGCTGTAGCCAAAGTCTTTCACTGATCTTCCCATTGGTAAGGTTATCTCTTATTTCACTGATTCTTCTTCCTCTTCTAGGTTTCTTTCACCCCTTCTTCCTTCTTTGCAAAACTAAAAAAAATGAAAATGATGAGTGATGGATCCATTTAGTAGAATCATTTATTAAAAATTTTATCTCTCTTCGTAACCTAGTTTTGATTGTTCCTTAGTTCTTCAACAAATAACTTCATGAGAATAGCTTTATGGAGTGTTGACAATTTGTGTATCCATTCACATAAGTTTCTGTATTGATTTCTGTTGTTGGAAAGTGGATATTTGGTATATGAAACATGTATTTTGTTTATGATTGGTATGTTAAGATCCAAAGCTTTATGCATAGGTTATGGAAAAGTAGGGAGAAGCCATATCATTCTTTGTTAAAACAAAAAAAAAATGTATGCACTCAAAGTGTTTGTATTTTTGCCTCTTTAAAAATAGTAAGGATATTTGTCCAGGAGAAAACCATGGGAAGACTCATTTGGCTTATGTTTTTTTTTTCCTGAGAAAATGTTAGAATGCGGTATGACATTCATGTACTTATGATTCTTTTCTTTTAGATAGCAATACACTCAAAAATATTCCCACGATTCGCTTTATGTAAGTCTTGCGAATTATTAAAATTAAAAGAGGTTGAACTTTTACTTCGTTTCAATGTTTAATGGTGATTGTGTGAATCGTAACCACGCTAAGAAGTTCTTGTATTCATTCGTATCGTAAACGACATTTAACAAACCTCTCCTTAAAGATTTCTTTTACTTTTTATTTCTCTTTCATGAGTTTAGAAGAGAACGATACTTATGATCATAAATTTATTCTTTTTTTTCCTTGAAATAAAATAACAGTAAATGCAATGTCTATTTTATATACTTGTATGTATTTTCTTGAATAAATCATGTATGTTTTGATGCCCATTATTTGTTCTTTGAGTTATAGTTATGAGGTTAAAAAAAAAATAGAGAGAGAAGGTATTTCCTGGTACCTTTATCATGAATTATGATTAATTTTAAATTAGATTCATATGGCATCATTTGTGATTTATATGTGATCGTGAAATATGAACTTTTTATGTTGATTCAATTGATGAGTCTTGTGGATATTGCATACAAATTATTTGATGAAATGCTTTTAAGAAAAAATGTTATGATGAAATGTCTTTTTGTTATCTCGCCAAAATCGCATAGGGATGCCAAGAGTATTTTTTTTGTCACCACTAAGAGCACTTGAAATATTTTAAACAAGATAAATTTTCATTAATGCTTGGTAGATAATTGAATGTAAAGTCTAAATGTGTTATTGTACAAAGCAGATTCATGTTCTTATTTTCTTGGACCATGTATATTGTTGGGGTCAAATAGTTGTCATGGAATTTGTGCATATCTCATCTAGCTTGTCAATGCATGACATACAATTAGAGACACACCAATACATATTCCGTGAAAGATTTTTGGTAAGAATTATTGTCTTATGATGAATTAAAAGGGTGTTAGTAATTCTTTATGATGAGATACATGTTGTCGAAATTCTTGGTGGGGTTTGTTTGTTTTATTTATGGATGTTCAAATGTCTTGTTATTCGAAACTCCATGCTCAAGTTTTATAGGAAATTTCTTGTACTTTATTTGGTGTGTAAAGTTAATTGGAAAATTTATCATGAAATAGAATACCATGAATTCATAGTTCAATTGGATATATGCATGCTGGATGGTATCTTTCTCAAACGCTATATTTATATGTACAACAAGAGGGTAAATCTGTGTTAATTTTCTTTCCTTCCTCTTATATTTAACATGTACATTAAGATTTAAATGATAAATGGAAATTAGTATTAGACAAAACTCTTATCGTTAAAAAAAAAAAATCTTATGACTTTATTGTTTATGGTTGCAAATCAGACTTGATATGAAGTTTATATTTCTTACTAATTATGTTTTAAAATTTATTTTATGTATACTTGTATCTTGAGCATGAGTGAATAAGGTTTGATTGGTAAGGTTTTGTGTCTAATGTCATAGCTAGTTTGAAGGAATGTGATGTATACAGATTGAAATCCACTTGCATGAATAGTGATCTAAATGAGAGGTTAAGTTTATGGATATTCCTTCACATTATGACAAGTCATATGCCGAGCATAGTGCTCATCTAAAAAGGATCAGGCGGTACTTACATTTATTGTGTTTTCCCACACTGCTTAGCGTTTTTTTTTTCATCTCTATGCAAGATAGTTTGGTGTTGTAAGTTAAAATTAGTATATGGTATGTGGTGGATGGAAAACTTTTTTTTTTACATTTGCATTATAAATGTTTGTCATTTAAAAACTGAAAAAAAAAGAGAAACTTAAATTGCTACTTTGTATTCATTTAGTACGTATATGAAAGAGAAATATGAACTTTTGAAATTAGAAATTGTAGAAGTCATGGAGTGTGGTGGTTCTTGATTTCTTTAGTTGAATTTGGGTGCAACAAGCGAGGTATATGATATTGTCAAATGTTATTTCTTTCTTAAAGTTCTTGGGCTATCAAGTTATGATTCTCTAAGTGAAGTATGATTATTTTTTTTCCCAATAGCATGATGGTTTTGCATCTTTTGTAAGCTGTGGTTGTGAATTTGATATCGGAAAATAAGCTTGTTGAGTTTGTTGAAAATTCCACTCCTGCTCTATGTTAACCTCAATTTTCAAAGGGTATACGGTTCTAACGCAAGGTGGCATGCTCCATGTTGGAAAGTCCTATGAATGGTCTTCTTGTAGGGAAGTTTTATGCATTATCCCTTTTGTTGAAAACTATTTTATGATTCGTTTGGAAGCCCAAGCGAATTTGATGCTAGTTTTATGTATGAAATAAATGAAGTTTCTTATAGTCTATTTGAGATGAAATTTGGTAAGCTTGGTTTGAATCAGCACAATTTTATATAATCTTCTTGTGGGATGACTTTTATGTACTATGTTGCAAGAACCTTTATATATTATTATTCATGATGTTGAAAATACTTTTTTTAAGCATAGGAAAAACAAATTGCATCAAACTCCTCTCTTGCCATTACCTTTTTAGTAGAAAGTGTTGGGTTCTAACATTGAATACATGTGTTGCCTCATGTTGGAGAAGTTTTATGTTTTGTTTTATATTGAGAAATTGTATGATTTGTTTTATATTAAAGAGCTTTATGATTTGTTTTATATTGAGGAGATTTGTGATTTGCTTCATGATTGGAAAAATTTGCAAATGGCTTTTTATGTTAAAGTTTTATGAGTCGTCTTAAAAAAATATTATAAGTTGTTTTATATTGAAAGAATTTCAAGAGTGATTTCACATTGGAAAGCATTGCAAGTTGTTTTATTGTTGGAGACTTTATAGAAAGTTTTAATGAGTTTTGTGAATTTGCTTTGGTTGGAAGAAGTTTTGATTTGCTTATGTTGAGATGATTTATTAGTTGTTTTAAATTTGTTTTAAAGAGCTTTATGCGACGAGTTATATGAAGGATTTACAATGAGGGGTTTTATAGAACTTTCTCGTTGAAAAGCTTTATGTTTTCTTCCCCACTCCAAATAAAATAAAAGGTACTTGGTTGTTTTGTGTCGGGAAGAGTTTTTGTTGTTCGATTTGTGCGAGATTTTCATGTGTCGTTTCATTTGAAATTTTTTATAAGTTATTTTGAGATTCGTAACTTTATGATTAGCTTTGAGTTGGAAGACTCGTTGATGTCTTTTTAGAACGAGGTGGTATTTCATAGTGGAGTTGTCTTTCTTCTTGCCTGCACTTATTTTCTAAGTGGTTTTTTTTAGATTAGGGGGTAGTAAGAGCATGCTGTTTTGGGTTTTAAGTGAGAGATATATTTTAGTTGCATTTTAGGGGTTTGTGTCTCTTTGTCGTTTGGAGCTTTGTTTAGAGGGTAGTTAGGTTGTTTGGGTTGAGTCTTATTCAAGTGCCTTGTTTGGAATGTAGGGATAGTAAAGGGCATTGAAAATGTCTTCTTCCTTATTCGTATCACATCGAATTGGGGGAGAAGGTTATTTTAGAGGCACACTTGACTTTAAAAGAAGTGTGCCCAATAACAACAATGCCTACATTCCTTTTATGTTTGATTTTCATTCTTTTTCTTTCTACTGCTTTGCTACTTTTTATTGTACTTTTATCCATAGATCCCTAAGCTATTGACATACGTATAGAAGTCATAAGGGTTATAAAACGAGGCATCCTTTAGTCCTACAACTTTAGTGACATTTAAGGACAAAAATTAAAGACCGGGTCTTAGATAATATAGATTTAGGATGCATGCTCCCTATAGGGTAGATACATCAAAACAAAACTTAGTGACACGTTTTCCTAGGTTTAGTTCCCCTTAATCTACTAATAATCAACCAATGAAAACCAACCCTAATTCAATCCTTTAAAATGCACTAAAACACTTAATTTTTTTATTCTAACCATAATTAATATTTCATAATAATTAAAAATGCCAAATCTAAATCAAGTTCAGACAATCTAATAATAAACCCTTAACCAATCTAAACTTAAAAGATGTAGACTTAAGTTAGGGGATCAAACATAACGCTAAAATCTATTAGGATAAAAGACTTTTAAAATATCAAACCTTAGACTAACCTTTAAAAATCAATCAAACAAATTTGATTAATAAATTGCCTAATTCGCATTTCTTTTCTAATTTATAACCAACTAAAATAATATAACAAAATTAATTATCACTGGGTAACCCAGATCTACGAGGCTATTAAGTTAGCCCCAATGAGGGTGAAACCTCACGGTCTCGGTGTGAAACAAAGGTGATAATTAATCAATTACTAAAATAAAACATTTAAAATTAATCTCAAGATATTAAGATTTGAACTTCAATTAAAAATCCCTTTTGCTCCTTTAACAAACAAAAATACAAGTAACTCTAATTAAAGTTTCCTACATAGGACCTATCCAAAACTACACAGCCTACACACACCTTAGACTTGTTTGGTTAGGACACGACTTCTAACCCTAGGTTAGGCTGACATTTTTCTTTTGTTATTCAGTGCTTACTACTTGTATATGTTTTATAAATGTTAATATTAAATTTCCTGCTAGTTACATTTCTATTTATTTGCATTTCTTTTATGAATGACATCTACGCTCATTTGTATATTTTTCTTTCATTTTTCTTGCGAGGTACATTAGAGTAATTTGCTAGCTTGAAGCTTTTAAGTGGCTGCGCCACATGCTTTGGATGGTCAAGAATGACTTGCTTACTCAGAGCTTTTAAGTGACAGCGCCACAGTCATGTATAATCTCTACAAATTGTAAAGCAAATTCTTTTAATTAGATATCGAAATTGCTACACATCACACACGACTTGTTAATAGGTATTTTAGCATGTTTAGATAGCTGGCCTTATGGTAGTTCACTAACGAAGCTTTGGCCCTATAGGTCAAAGATTGCCCCCTTCTGTGAGCCTTAGAGACCATTAGGGTCATTTAGGCCTGTAGAGTAGGCCACCCAGTTGTGCTATTGGGCATCATTGTTTTCCCACACGAAGTGGGCATCGCTAGGATTTTGGCATTTTTCTGGTTTTGGGTATGATACCCCCCTTTTCTGTGAGCCTTAGAGACCATTAGGGTCATTTAGGCCTGTAGAGTAGGCCACCCATTATGCCATTGGCATCGCTGTTTTCCCACACGAAGTGGGCATTGCTAGGATGATTTTCTGTGCGGGTATCTTGCCTGAAGGGTACCCTTAGTGTGTTTATTTACTTTTTCTGTACTCTGAATGTCATGTATGTATTTGTTTTTACACACTTTGTTTCACAGTGCACTTTACTTCCATTTATGCATTGCATCAGTAGACCTAAGAATATTTTTATAATGCATATGTTTCATGCATCATATGTGGCAATAAGTCTATTCTTTTACATATTACAGAGTCTCTAATTTAAATCCTTGATTCCTTAGGATAGAACCTTCCCATCTTGCATACATATAGGACGATTGGTTGTGCTTAGTATTTTAGCTGGCTTCCTTTTTTTCAGGCAAGGAATAAGTCCAGGATTGCACTAGTTAGGTCGTAGATGTTAGTATCGTATGTACGATATTACATCTCTTATAGATTTAGGATCTAAGGTGAGTGGTACGAGTGTACCTCTATACGCCTTATTGGTGGGCAAGCTCTCAATTCTTTCGGAAGCCATAAATCCTACCCATCCGCGTCACACAGATGACGTCACCTCCCTCTTTCTCTCGTGTTTGCTTGAGATGCGTTGCCGCTTTCTTTTCTCCAGTTTTCCCTTCTTCAGACCGGCCGAATGTTGAGGGAACCACGCGTGATTGATTGAACCAATTTGGGACCTTCCTCTTTGATTAGGAAAGCCTAGAATTTTCCCTTTGCATTAAACCCATTAGAGAAGATAATCTAACGTCCTTAATCGAGAGTCTTCTTAGACCAAGGTCTAAGATGTAATTAACTACGTGGGCTTGCGTCCTTAGGAAACCGATCACCACAAACAAATAAACTCCATTCGAGCTGATGTATCGAATGAGGAAAATCTCGTGAATTTTGGGTTATATATATTATTATCCATCGAGGTGTGTAGGTGAAAGCCGCTATCCTCTATGGCTAATCGTATGTATAACTCCATCTGCTCTTCCATCGGGCTGCTTGTGTCGATTGTAAAGGTCTACGACCATTTTGTCCTATGGGATAGTGTGATCGTACCCTTTGCATTCGAACCACACGAGCAGAATCCTTTCAGAGACCCACAACATTCTTCTCAATGTCTCCAGCTTCCCTTATTATCGGCAGTGTAAGCAACCACTTAAACAATTCTGAAACACTTAAGCTGTGTTTGTATGGTGGGAATTTGAGTGAAATAAAATGAATTTAATTTAATTTCCTTTTGTTTTCTTCAATCTAAACAAATATTTTAAAAAACTATTTAGCATTAGTTGATTTAACTAAATTTACTAAAAATGCATGCTCCATTGGTGGAGATTATGTGAACTTGGGTATCAGCATATCAAATTCTTCATCATCACCATCTTCGTCCACAAATCTTGATGATTATTCATTTGGTGAGGTGATGCAAGTGGCTTAATCATCTAATATTATTTTTCTTCTCTTTAATTCTAATAATTTTATACTGATCTAATTGGCATTTTCATGCTAATTACTTATAGAACTCCCTGCTCTGAATAGTTTCATGTGGTTGTTCATGTTGCTTACTTCTCTTGTAATGATCTGACTTAAGAATAAGGTAGCTGTGATAGATCAAAACTTTCTTTGATTGAGATTACTTAGTTATGTTCGAGTTTTAGTACTATACAAGTTATTCATGTGCAAAGACGAGGGTTTTATGTTGCTAGATTTTACGGATCATATTATCTCATGTTCTTTATAATGTTGTCAATAATTTTTTATTTCATGTAGAAAATGTATGGAGGAAAGAATATTGATGGTTTTTCAAAGCTCTTTCCTTCTGTACGGCTTGTTTTTGAAGAACATAATTATATTTTGTGATTAACTATATCATCCTGATTGAAATTTTGAGGCTATTGTTTCTTGGTTTTTCTAGAAGACATTTTAAGCAGGTTACACAGTTCTTAAATAGCATCCCTGTGTCTTTGATCACAAAAGTTTTTTTCTTTTCCCGAATTAATTGACTGAAAATGATGATTGTTGTTGTTTTATCATAAAATAAAGCTTGTGAATCATGCACTGTAAATTATTTAACTATTTTTCTTCCAGTTTATTTATTTTTTGTAGCTATCCGATGAAGATCCAAATTTTTAATATCTGGCCCAGTTGATTCTCAAAATTTCTGAATATTTTCATAAAAAATCGGCACGATATCTGTCATTTTGCATGCGTTTGAATATTTTCATAAAAACCACGATAATGTTTTGATTCCTGCACTTACAAATAGTTCCAAAAGAGATAAATTTTGTGAAGGCAGGGGAATATTAAGGTGCCTGTTGACCTCGATTTTCGTTCGAGTGCCCTCAAAGGCATTCGATCACTTTGATTCAACCTCGTAGAGCCAGATTTGAATTCGATTCGATCCGAATCGAGTCAAATTAGACTCAATCATGTTCAATCACGCCTGGATAGTCCGCTTCGACCGCGACGAGTTTAATTTGACCCAAATCTATCTCAATTTGAGTTTAATTTTATTTAATTGAATTGATTGAGCCTAATCCCAATTCTAAATCAAGCCAATTCGAATCAAATTCATATCCAAACCCAACTCAAATCAGCCTAGATCAATTCTAATTAAATTCCAAGTCTTTTTTTAATCAATTTGAATAGCTTATCAAATCGGGAAATAGATCGAACGGTCTGAGTCAATTGACCGTTTATTCGAGGCTTTGGCGTGATATATGGCTATCTGCGATCGTCAGAGATATGAAGCAAAAAAAAAAAAAAAAAAAATCCTCGTGAGACCGGATGGGCACCCCCTCCTCTCGGGCGGTTCCTTCTTGATTCGCTCCTTCTCCCTCTCTTTCTCGATTTCGCACAGCCTCCCTCTCTCGTGCTTCTCTATTCACCTCCTCGATCGCAAGGAGAACGAAGGCCCTCCCGTGCTCCCTTCGGTCGGAACCCAAGAGCCGAAGCTCTTGCTCCCTCTCCCTCTCTCGCGTGAGCCAGGGGAGATCGGACCCGAGCCCGCTGCCCCGTCTGACGGAAGCTCCGCCGAACCCAACGCCTGGATCGACTCCTCCTCCTTGCAAGGTGAGTAATTTCTTCCCCTTCTCCTCATCTCCATGCTTCCATTTCTTCTTCTCAGCCTTTTTCTTCCTCTTCTTGGCTTCTTCTTCATTTCTTGATTTCTCATCCAGATTTCTTCTTCTCCTTTCTTTCTTCTTTTCCTTCTCTCTTTTCCCATTGCTCTTTCTCACTGTCCAAGTTAAATGGATTTGATAGGAAGTTCATCTTGTTTAGATGATGGTGATATGTGTAGATTTACTTAGAACAAAACTTATTTTAGAATGGTTAATTGTTTAAGTCATATGATTTCCTATGATTTCTTTCATCCTTGTTGCTTGTAAGGATTTTATTGCACTTTATAATTGCTGGATGTGCTATGTTGAGTTATGTTGCTTGAAAACGAGTAGCTAATGTGTGGAATTTGTACTTAATTCATGTTATATCTTTTAGAAGTTTTAGGCGTGAGCTTTGAAGGCTTATAAGGGTATCATGTCATCTCTTCATCAAACTATGCATATGAGGTGTTTGATGAAATGCCCTTTAAGAAAGATTTGGATATTTGGTTAATGACTCATGAAGCTTTGAGCCATGTTGTTCCCTTAGATATTCATGCTTGTGAAATCCATCCCAAAATCTCCTTATTGTAGTGTTTAAGAGTTTTCTTTTTAACTAGTAGTATTGGTAGTGAGTTTTGATGAATTTCAAGTAACTTTTGTGGTTGTTATGTTATTTGGAGAAATCTACATGACATTCTCTCATTTTCCTATAAATACTCATGTGTTGCAAGAAGAGAAAAGAGGTCTTGACCCCTTTCGTTGTGAGATGAGTTTAGGGAATATTGGAGAAGTTGTTTGTTGAATGTGCATCTAAACATAGTGATGTATTCTTGTGTGAAATGCCTTTTACAAACATGTGGTTTGTTCTCAAAAAAGTGTAGTTCTATACCATGTGTAGCTAGATCAAGGTGCTTCATGGTGTATATTTGTGTTAGTACTCACATATGACTTGATGTATTTAGTGAATGTCATTTAGCTAAACAATCACACTCTCTTATGATTCATGATTAGTTGATGGGATTTTAGGCGATTCGATGATTAAGTTGCTTCATTACTATTGCTCTCTTTTTATATTTTCCTACAAGTAAAGTGATTATTTGGTGCATATCAATGGTGCCATATTGAATGGTATTCTCCTTATTTGTCATGTCAATGTGTAGGAAGATGAAGGGTATGCCAAGTATCAAATATGCTAAATAATCTCTTGTAGCATGTATGATCACCATAGGTTCCATATGTTTTTGTACTTGGGTTAAAGTGCTCAAATCATATTTTAGAAAAATATGATCATGCGATATCACTTGTTTGAAAAGGTCGTCTTATTGGCATAAATAAGTTTCATATAGCATATGTTGGAAGACCTCCTTGAGTTTCTTTTGGGTGGATCTCTCATTGCTTCTTTGTGAAAATTGCTACTGTTTTTATAATCTTTTCCCACTATTTTTGTAAGAAACAAGTGCAGATTTTGGAGGTTTTACCGCTGTTTTTGCATAAGAATCCTCACCGCATTCAAATGGATCTTGCATTACTTCTTGGTAGGGATTCCTACAGTTTTTATAAACTTTTCTCACTGTTTTTTGTAAGAAACAAGTGCAGATTTTGGAGGTTTTATCGCTGTTTTTGCATAAGGATCTTTATGGCATTTGGGTAGGCCTTTCATAGCTCTTATGTAAGAATCCCTACATCTTTTATATAGTTTTATGGTTGATTTTTGTGGAGGGTTAGTGCAGATTTTATTGTAAGGTTTTTGTAAAGATTGACACATGTCTCCTTTGGATATCGCTCTTGTTTTATGTTGCAAAATCATATGCTTAACATACAAACGCATGATTTCACTTGCCGATAGGAGATACTTATGCATTCTTTTATATTCTAATATCAAATATAAATGCAATTCTCTTTCAGATATTTTTTTGGTCATATACAACATGAAAATGAAATTTTGTTGGAAAGTAATGATGTGCCTTATGCTTCAAGTAGGGGTTTCTCCACCGAATCGATGCAAGTGTGTATTTTTATGCAGTTGTGAGTTTGACATGCCTTCTAGAAGTAGAAAAGGGATGAGTTGGCATCAAATTTATATCTAATAGTTATATTTTGGTTGAGCTTCAAAATTAGATAATCAATTTGGTCGCCTGTCATATAACTACAACCCTCAATATCACATAGGCTTGGTTTCACTATGATAATCTTGGTGGAGACATAAAAAGTAATTTGATACATGCTTAGTTAGTGCATTTGTAGGTTCCAAACACATCTTTTCTGTATTTCATTAACTATAAATTGATTAGGATGAGTTTGAGAGTTTTTACCAGATTTATTATGTGCATTCGTGATTCTTTTTAGATGAAGGTTTATATAAATGTAGCGTTTCATATGATTGTTTGAAAGGAAGATAACATGATGAAAGATCAAATTAGTTGGGTTATTGTTGATGAATAAATTTTGGAAAGCATTTATTTGGCTCGTACGTTAAAAGAAAGAGGGCTTTGTGAATTGATTCATGTTGAAAGAGTGTTATGATTTGCTTTATATTATGAAATTGGATTTCTTATAATTTGCTCTCATTGTTACTTTATGAGTACTTACATTTGTTGAAAAGATTTGGGAAGGTTTTGCGAATGTTTAAAATGAAAGCTTTTATGTGTTTTTTTTTTCTTTTCTTTTCTTTTTGAAGATTTTGATTTCTATACCCCACTCCAAATAAAAAAAGAGGCACTTGATTGTTGGTCATTTTTGTAGTGTTTTGGGTCAAAAAAAGAAGAAGAGATTTTGGTAGATAATTTTTGTAAGGTTTTGTGTGGCATTTAATTTAGAAGTTCTTACAAGTCATTTTGAGATTTATAATTAGGCTTGTGTAGTAGGGTCCTTTAGTGTCTTTTGGAAACAATTGGTGCTTTCTCATTTGAGTTAGACTCTCTTAGTGTTTATTTCTAAAAGATGAGTTTTGAGATTTGAGACTTTAAGTAGTTTTGTGTTGGAAGGCTTTTAGTGTCTTTTTGGAGCAAGGTAGTCCTTACTTATTTGAGTTATCTTTCTTTAATATTAGCTTCTAAAAAAAATATAGAATTTTGGATAAATATAAAACAAAAGAAAATCTTATTTTAAGTTTATTTTTAGGAATTTGTTTCCCTTAGTTGCTTTAGGCTTTATTTAGAGTGTGTTGTAGGTAGATGTTTCAAATGTATCAAATGCTTTATTTGAATTTTGGGGGCAACAAAGGGCATTGTAAATGTTGCTTTAGGGTACACTTGACTTCAAAGAAGTGTGCCCAATAACAATAATGCCTACATCCTTTTTGTATTTGATTTACATTATTTTTTTTCTTTTCATTGCATCTAATTTTCTTTTGCTTTGCTTTTATTTTTCTTTGTCGTTTCTTTCATGTTTTGATACTAAACACTTGCAAAATGAGGAGAATCCAAAACACAAATGGCTCAACCGGTATACAGAAATATACGTTCTTTAGTTTTATAACATTTTCATTTATTTATGTCTTTAGTTACTCAGTATAAAGAACATGCTCTTACACCATTCTTTTGTGTTTTACGATTACCTTTTGGAAAGCAATGGATAAGGAACACTGGAGCACTTAGAGAAGGAGCAAGGACAACCAGATCCGAGCATCAATCGCCCCTATTCATTCCGGTAGGGGTGTTACGGGCGTAACCACTGGGTCGTAGCCCCCGGTGCTGTAAGTTTACTTTAAAACTTAGAAAATCATTAGGGGCCTAAATGATTGCATGCTCTCCACCTTTTAGGACCTTGTAGAAACTTCATTTATAATCAGGATTGCTTTTCTTTTATTAGATCTCTAAACCTTTTGACATACGTATAGAAGTCTTAAGAGCTAGAAAACAACACTGCTTTTAGTCCTACAACTTTAGTGACATCTAAGGATAAAAATTAAGGATCGAGTCTTAGAAAACATAGACTAAGGATGCATGCTCCCTATAGGATAGAGACATTAAAATAAAAACTTAGTGACACTCTTTCCTATATTTGATTTTTTTTGTTTTCTTAATTCACTAATAATAAACCAACCATTTATAACCTCACTTTTAATTATGTTAAAAAGTAACTAACTCTTAATCAAATTATAATTAATATTTCATAATCATTAAATTATAAATCTAAAACATAAACTTAAATCAAATCTAACTAATCTAATAATTAACTTCTAACAAACTTAAAGTTTAAAAGAAGTATATTTAATTAGGAGATCAAAAATCTAAAACTAAATTCATTAGGATAAAAGACTTTTAAAGATTAAATCTTAGATTAATTTTTTAAAATCAATTAACAAACCCTTTAATACATAACAACCACTCTAAAGATGAAGTTTATTGGATGGACTACTCCGGGCTGCGGGGCTAAGTGTCCTAAGGAGGCCTGGTTCCTCGAGCCTGGTGGCACAACGCCACGAATGAATTTAATGAAGTGTTAAACTTTAAAATTAATTTCTTAATTGGTTTAAGTCAAACCTTAATTGATAATAAATTGCCTAATCCATCATTTTTTTTTAATTTATAACAAACTAAAATAATTCAACAAAATTAGTCGTCACTGGGTAATCCAGGCCTACGAGGCTATTAAGTTAGCCTTAAGGAGGGTAAAATAAACCTCATGACATCAGTGTGAAACAAAGGTGGTAATCAATCAAACACTAAAAATAAAATATCTAAAAATTAATTTCAAAATACTAAGATTTGAACTTCAACTAAAATCCCCTTTGCCCCTTTAACAAACAAAAAAATACAAATAACTTTAATTAAACTATCCTACATATGACCTACCAAAACCACACAACCAAGACACACTTAGATTGATTTGCTAGGACACAACTACTAGCTTTAGGTTAGGCTGATGTTCTGTCTTTCTTTTCTGTGCTGTGTTGTGACGCTTTGCATGTGACTCATGTGCTGTTTGCTTTACTACTTGCTTTAGCTTTTCTGTGACATTTTCTAGCTCTTTCTTTCTGCACTGTGGTTGTGAGCGTTAGAATACCCATAGGTTAGAAACGTTCTTTATAATGACACTGTTTTCCTGCAGATGGTCCCGTGCTCACACAACGTTAAAGTGGGCTAAAATTCATAAAAAAATATAATCGCTACAGGTGCTTCAGCTGCTTAGCCCCCAAATAATTAGAGCACGACCAAGTGTGATTGATTTGAGTATTTTTATTCATATATAACTGCGTGAACGATTTTTGTTTTATTATAACTGTTTAGGATAACCCTGCAGGAGAGTCTAGATTTTCTCTTTTTACTGATGAAATGTATTTGAAGTCTAATTTTGTGAAAATCGTTAAAACAAGGCATTTTAGATGTAAAGGGATCCAAAGGAAAAAAGAAAACCCCCTACAAGGAGTTTACTTTTTCATTTGGACATTTTTTTATTTATTATAAATGATTTTTAAATGCAAGTTTATGATATAAATTTAGTATATAATTTATAGTTGTAAATTTTTTTAAATATACAATATGAATTTGTAATAATTTATATTAAATTATAAGATTATATATTAATTAAATTTATTTGTTAATCATAAATTATTATTATTATTTTTGGGACATTTAGGCCATTTAAGGCAAACTCACACACACAACGCATACACATAGACTCGAACCTTGGACCTCTTAGTTGGAAGCCTAAGCTCTCAACCAATTGGCCAAGGAGAATTGTGTTAAATTATTATTATTAATAATTATTATATCATTTAATTTTTATTTAAATCATTTCAATATTTATTATGTCAATCAATTCAATCCCGATAAAACAATTAAACTTTAAACCTCTATTTTTTTTTGATTTAATGTTCGGTTTGATTTTCACACGCTTAACGTAAAGAATATATTCTTTAAAGATTTGAAATTCTTAGTCCTACTAAATATTAGAAGTTACTTTTGAATTATTTTAATAAGTTTATATTTCATAGTTTTGTTTCAACCTCTGTCTTCTGCTTTGAAATCACAAGTACTTTCTTTAAAGTCCTAGAAACAAATGAATTATATTTTTTTTTTGCTAAAAAAAGTTCAATCAGACGTGCTTTTTTTTTAGGGCAGATAGGCTATATGCGCTAGCCCCCATGATATTCAGAGGAGTTAGGTTGGGCCCTGACCAAGCAGTGATCCTTCATATGCTTGATATACCCTCTATTGCAGAAGCATTGAATGATGTCAAAATGGAGTTGATCGATGCTACATTTCCTCTACTAAAAGGTACATATCCTATTTTTACTTCACCATTGTATGAGTCAAATGTTTAAATAAATCTAATATCACATGCTTTACTATGTTTCTGCAATAGGGGATATATCAAGCATATGAAGGATCACTGCTTGGTCAGGGCCTAACATAACTCCTCTGACAATCATGGGGGCTAGCGCATATAGCCTATCTGCCCTGAAAAAAAAGCATGCCTGATTTAACTTTTTTTAGCAAAAAAAAATCTAATTCATTTGTTTCTAGTGCTTGAAAAAAAGTACTTGTGATTTCAAAGCAGAATACAGAGGTTGAAACAAAAATTAGGAAATATAAACTTATTAAAACAATTCAGTTGTAACTTCTAATATTTAGTAGGAATAGGAATTTCAAATCTTTAATGAATATATTCTTTAAGTTAAGCGTGTGAAAATCAGACCGGACATTAAATCAGAAAAAACAGAGGTTTAAGGTTCAATTGTTTTATCAGGATTGAATTAATTGACATAATAAATATTGAAATGATTTAAATAAAAAATAAATGATATAATAATTAATAATAATAATAATTTGTGATTAAAAAATAAATTTAATTCATATATAATCTTATTGTGATAGAGTAATTTAGTAATGGCAAATTTTAATAAAAGAGCGTAGGTTGAAATTATAATGAGCATATGTAAATATTACTTTAAATAGGAGGAAATTAGTTAAAGTGGATGGTGCAGCTTTATTTTTTTATGAGTGTAAAATTAACATCACATTTGCTTATCAGAGTCCTCAATTTTTTTCCAGATTACATCATGAAGCATTGACATATTTTAGAGAAGGTTTGGGGCACCCAATGAAAGACTTGGTTGATGCTAGAAGCGCACAATCGTACGACTGAGTGACTAGGGTTTTCGATACTCCGCTAGAGTTGAAGGCAAGGGCAAACAATATTTTTGGATGTTGCATCAATTAAAGGACAGAGGATATCAATTGTTACTTTTGAACTTTCATGAGAAAGCTATGAAGATAAACTTCTATAAATCATAAATTTTCTTAAATTGTCGAGATTGAAATATCTACGGCATAAGTTTTTCGAGCACAATCGTCACGTTGTTGTCGACTTTATGCAAATACGTTACCATGAGTTATGAATTATAAGAGAAGGTAGATTGTTCGTATAAATATCTTCACAAAATAAAAGTGAACGAGCAAATGATTTATTTTGTCAATAGCTACAAGAAATGCTATCATGAGATGATAAATCGATTTCATTAAGCGGAGACGACTTTGAATAAAGCTATTTGCTATTTGAGTGAATGAATTGCAACTTATGTGCATAATTCTCAATCTAATAACTTTTGCCTTTATCATAAAGATGAAATAATCATTATAGAGCAGATTACAAAGCTCTTCTATATGATATGAAAAAAAAATGCAGATTATTAACAAATTTTTGTCTCTTGAAATAAGCTTCAATAAGAAAGAATGATGAGCTTTCATGAAAGATGATGAGTTGTCCTAATATTATTCATACACTATTATGAGCCTTTTTTTATGCTACATGAGCAATTGTCATGTCAGCATGATTTATTCCTACAAGATTAAAGTAGAATAGTTCATGGTGTTGGTTGGATGAAGGACTAAGCTACTATCCATATAATGTTGGTCAAAGAAAAAAAAAATCTGTGACAAATTTTCGATGGAAATTGTGAATGAAAATTTATGATTTTAGTTCTGATACTTGTGAAATACTTTATATTAATTTATTTAGATATGATAGTTTAAATGAATTTATGATCCGGTGCAGTTGAATTATACTAGTATAAATGCACATGCACCATGTGCATGTGAATAAAAATTTAAAAATAAAAAATATATAATATAAAAAAAATTAATATGATATAAATCGTGATATAAAATTCTATATCAATATGAAATATAAAATTTGTATAAATATAGATTATTTATACTTCTATTATACTTCAATTAAGACAAATTGAAAGTAGATATTATTTGACAAAAAATTTGATAAATGTAAAATATGTGTAAATTAGATCATTATGGGAGGATCAATCTACTGGTAATGTTGTCAAATTTTTAATGAATGTGTTCTACTGGTTCAACAATTGGAATATTTCTGTCGATTTTTGTCACCATTTTTCATTTGAAATTAAGTTTGATCATTTCCATGGAAGTTAGCATTGTCATTTCCAAGACCTTAAATGATAAAAGTACTTTTAGAGAAAAATATAGATCATTTTGCAGCACATTTATAATAAATTAAAACAAAAACACACCCTCTATTTTATAATTTAATTAATATCATCGTTAATCGTTAATTCTAGTGATCAAATGTTTTGACTACGAGAGAGAAAATTATTAACTATTGTAGGAGTCACAAAATTTCAATATTATTTTATTTATTAATTCTTATACTGATCTATGTTTTCAAATTGCGTATGTTATCATATTGAATTGTTGAATACATTCTCACTCTTAAATAATTTAAACAATGTTAAATCCAAGCGTAAGATTTGCAATAAGCTTATGATTGAGGCAATAGTACATTAGTGCTAAGTTTTAATTGCAAGTCCGAGCTGGTTCATGAGCTATTTTTGCTCACTTACACCCTTAACTTTATTTATATATATTTGTTCATTTTATAAGAATCAGAAAATGAAGTAGCAACAGTAAATAGTGTGCATTCCTTAATGTTTAGAAAATGTGTTTCCAACAAGGACGCACTTCTATTATTTAATCATCTTAACTAAAATTTGATCATAATGTGTTGATTCGATTGTGCTTTATATTTTATAAAAAATTGATTAACCAAACAAAAATCCTAAATGCCAAAGTTAGATTCAGAAAGAAGCAGCTTCATGAGAAAGCTAGAAGTTCCAACCGAGAGGTCAATGGAACAGCCATCACATATAGCTACAGTGAAAAGGCCAGCTTCTTAGCAAAGCTTGGCATCTTAATATTCCTCTGTCTTCACAAAATTTATCTCTTTTGGAACTATTTGTAAGTGCAGGAATCAAAACATTATCGTGTTTTTTATGAAAATATTCAAACGCATGCAAAATGACAGATATCGTGCCGATTTTTTATGAAAATATTCAGAAATTTTGAGAATCAACTGGGTCAAATATTAAGGATTTGGATCTTCATTGGATAGCTATAAAAAATAAATAAACTGGAAGAAAAATAGTTAAATAATTTACAGTGCATGATTCACAAGCTTTATTTTATGATAAAACAACAACAACCATCATTTTCAGTCAATTAATTCGGGAAAAGAAAAAAAAACTTTTGTGATCAAACACACAGGGATGCTATCTAAGAACTGTGTAACCTGCTTAAAATATTCAGTAATTTTTTTATGTCATTCTATTTATATTATAACTTATATATATATTTTTCTTTTTAATATAGGCATCCAATATAGAAGATTATAATAACATTGTCACAAATATCTGTAACAAGGAGCTCATATTTTCAGTAAAGGTTCAAGATAAAGAATATGGAAATCGAACTTTTCGTTCAATTACAGTTCAATCAATAAAATAAATATCTGATGAAGTTATTGAGATCGTACCTAAAAGAATCAAATTATTAAACTTTCATCATTTTTCATGTTTGACATACATACTTTAGTCTTGATACTCTAGATATTTATTTCTTATTTCTCCGTCTCTCTCTCTCTCTCTCACTATCTCTCTTTTTAGTTTTCTTTATTGCAAGTTATAGGAGCTTTAAGAGTTGATGACATTCGTTAGATTTGAACATTATGTTGCATATCTTTTTCTAATAATTAACTTTTTTTTGAACTTGCCACATGTTTTAACTCCTAAGCAAATTTCTCACTTCGTCTGCTTATGCTTAACTCAATCATAAAAATTAAATTACAAATACATAGTAATATACTTATCTTAAACATAATATGATTGTTGTATGCAATTATATGATTATAATAATTTTTTTTACTTCATGGTAGTTGCTTGTTGATTATCTCTTCTATTTTTGTTAGGAAAATCAAATGTCTTCTGCATTTAAGTCAAAAGGTCTTTCAAATGATAATGTATTACTTACTAATGATAATTTTATTGCAGGTTCCTTAGAAGTTTCTTTTTTTATGAACTTGGGAATTGTAAAATTTTTATTTTTGTAAATTATGTTTGAGATTTTCATGTCATATTTATTTTGTTGTAGGAAAAATGATAAACTTTCTGAAGCATGCCTCATTTATACTTCCTATTTTTCAATTTATTCGTTAATACGTCAAAAATTTTAACATTCCTCTAAGTTGATTCTTCTAATGTTATTAATTTTGTCTGCTTCGTAAGAACAATTTATTTTTTTAAATGTAAAAGTAATATTATAATTTTTTTTTTAAAACCGCCAATGCCGGTCCCAAGCCTGGATGAAAAAGGTTGAGGGTAAGATGATTTACCAAAAATTTTGATTTTAAAATTCTTAAAATTTTATTTTATAGGATTTAAGCTTAATTTCATAAATCATTCCTAAATAGGATACCTAAAAAATATTTTATATATTTTTTAAATTGTTTTAATGTTTTACGATATTATTTACTTTCATTATGTGTATTACGGAGCTATCAATTGAAATAGAGAGTAGCAATGATAACCTCTATTTGTTTAAGACATACGAAGTATGGGCATACATGAAGCATGTTTCTGGAAACTTAATTCAATTGACATAGTGTTCTGTGAATCATTTCATTTTTTTTTGTATAGAATGATTCGTTGAGAAAAGATAATTGAATAAATCTGATTAAAAATGGCTTGCAAGAGAGGCGGATGAGGGGTTTTGAGAGGAGTTGGGATGTACTTGCAAAGTTGTTCAGGGTATGCTGCAGGGAGGGGCACAAAAGAGTCAAAAGAAGGGAAACTCTGAAATAACAAGTTTATGTTTGGCTTCAGGTTATTAACCATTTGCGACTGATCTTATGCTCCAGTTGCAATAGAGCGATATTTTGGTAGTACAATATTGAGGTATACATTCACTTGTACTTGATCATTGTATATTTGTAGCAAGAAATTCATCTTACAATCATCATTTTAAAGGTTAATGTTATTTTTTTTTTCATCTATTTGGTCTACCATTTTAAGAAACTTTTTTTTTTTCACTTGAGTTAATTAGTAAGCTGAATGATTGATTTTTTTTCGTAAGTGTGCATAACAGCTTAATTATAGTATCTACATAGAATCTCACATAACGTTTGTGGCTTGATAAAAAATATTTATTTATGATGTTCATATATCTTACTCTTTAACTCCATCTAAGGTCAGATGAACATTCCCCACAGGAAGAACAGCAAATGCAGCCAATCTTCTGTTTGTTGCCTCCAATGATGCATGAATATATAATGCCACAAACTCAATTGGAAATTGGCAAATCAGTTGTGTGAACTTTGTTCCCTTTATTTTTTATAATTATACTCCATGCTTAAGATAGTTAGCTTTTTTAATAGTTTAATTTATATTGAGTTCTCACCAACATATACATGTTTCGTTTGATCCAATAACAATGGACACTTCCTGCTTAATATTTCACCTTGTGTAGGAAGAAGATGCTTTCTACTACATGTCCTTATTTTCCTTAAAGTTTAACAGCCATGTGCAACATATTCATTCTCTGATCGGTATCATGGTATGATGGCAACCTACGTGCCTCAGGCTTTGGTAAATGGTATTTGGCAATCAGCCTTCCTTCAAATTTGTTATTAATTAAAATAATGTAGCTGTTTGGATCACATAATACTCATATTAGTTCATAAATCATATTCCAGCCCACTTCTTCTATTGCTAATAAACAGATGCATTCCATCACGTGCATCCTCAGTTTCTTGGAATGCCACATGCTCGAATGCCTTTACCCTTCGAAATTGCAGAGGATCTTGTTTATGTAAATGCAAAGCAGTACCATGGAATTTTTAAGGATAAGCAGTCACGTTCCAAGGAAAAACTTGAAAAGAAGACTATAAAGTCAAGAAAGGTACCTTTCAAATCGTTAACTTTGAATTCTTCAACTTCTTCCCAAATTAATTTCACTTGCCTACGCCAATTGTCACACGCACTTAACCCCGAGTTAGGAATTCTTCCAATGATTCTTCAGATATTGCGATGGTACCGGAGCAGCTTGGATGGCCTGCTAATCTAAGGGAAATCTCTACGCGTGTGCATCATCATCGCAACAAAACAGGTGCGTGGATCTGCTTAAGGATGGAACCAAGTCAAATATGAGCCCCTACCTCCTTATTTCTTTGCTTATCTTCTCTGAAACAGGTTTTCCACTGCTCAGCATAAATACGTGAGTGCTGTAGTGATACTTAACCCAAAATTAATCATATTTCTAACTTGTTAGTATAAGGGCCTATTTGGTTGCGGTTTTATGGCATGATTGAAAATGCTATTTGGTGGTAGATTTTTAGCAGGATTAAATCTATATTTATATAAAATCCTGCCAAGCTGTTTTTGTTGGGATTTTAATTGAATCGAAGAATTATTAATTTTAGGGGAAGATTGGATTTCATTGATTTAGGTGTTGTTTGATAGCAACATTTCACATGATTTAACCACAATTAATATAAAATGTTATAACCATAAATTGTTACTCATTGTAGACTTATTTGTTGCGGCCTTTTCCTTCATCTTCTTCTGCTTGTTTGATTTTAAAAAAGGTAAACTTATTACGGAAAAAAATTTAGCCTCTGGTTATTCCTACATTTATTGTTCTATTGTATTTCTTATTAATCTTGTTGAAATTCTTTAAATTTTTTTATCCTAGTCATAAATTTACTGTGAAGATGGACATAAATCGTTCTCCTCTTGATGTCAGTGTCTTAATGAATCAGGACATTGTTCTCAGGCTTAGGAAAGTTGAATGTGGAGAAATTGAGCTACAATTGCGTTTAGTTGAGCTTCCAATCTACAAAAGCTCACACCTATACCTAAGTGCATATTGTTTGATTATTTTGCAGATCCTTTTGATGGACTAATCATGCATTAATATATATATATATTTTAATGATGCATATGTTGAACCAGATATTTTTATCTTTCTTTCGAGAACTCGGTTGTAGTTATCTTCAATAATAGTTACGTTTATGTTTGATTTGGGACATCTTCTTTATTGCTTATTAAATTATCTTTTTTAGTTAAATTGTAAATTGTATGATGTCATCTCTATTGCGGTTATTGCGGTTTGGCTGTGTAACTCTACTTGGCAGAATTTAGATTCACTCAAATATCTCTTTGGTGATCATACTATGTAACCCGCACTACTAAAAAATGACACTTTTTTGCATCAGTTTTATTGCAGCGGTTTTGAAACCGGTGCTAAAAGATACTTTTTGCACCGGTTATAACCGGTGCAATATTTTTCACTCAATTAAAACCGCGCGAATCCGCCATGCCCTAATTCCGCGAAAAAACTCTTCCTCTTCCGTCGCAGCTCCTAGAGCGATTCCGAAAGAGTGTCAGCGTGTGCTCGATAGCCGTCGCAGCTCCGGCGGCCTTTAGTGATCACGGTAAGTCTCTTCACCTTCTTCTTCTTCTTCTTCTCATTCTTCTTCTTCATGTTGTTCTCCATCTTCTTCTCATTCTTCTTCTCGTTTCCTTATATTAATCTCTAAAACTAGAAATTAAATGGAAGATAAGAAACAACAAGTGAAAATCTAGTTTGCAAATTACCAATCCTAAAGTACATCGCCGAGCCGAGGCCGCATCGGCGCCAATGCTTTCATTCTAACGAAAACTTTTTCGTAGTTTCTCTGTAGATTTTTCTGTAGGGGGTTTCCCATTCATACTCATAAGGTATCTGGGCTCAAGCCAATCTTTTCAAGCAATTCATGGCGTCCTGAACAAATTCAGATGTACTTGAGTAAATGAAAGCAAAAGTGCACATTTACAAATTATCTGTAGTGAATGAAAATGAAGTATAAAGATACTTTGCTTCATGAGATGCATTTTAAACTTCGTTGGGTTATGTGATTAAACATTATTGGGCATTTATTCCCCAAGTAATTCTTATTTCTTTAAAACTTTATGTTGGTATTGGGCATTTATTCCCCAAGTATTTCCTATTTCTTTAAAACTTCATGTTGGTGTCTAACCAAAGTATAACCATTACAAGAATTACTTATTTCTTTAAAACTTTATTATAAGCACTTATATAAGGAATTCCTTATGTGAACAACGTCACATACATCATAGCACTACTTTTTCTCAGAAAGGGCTAATAAATTGACCAAATGAATCTCAAAATAGTTCTCAAATTATTCTTATGTGAACAATTTAGTCCAAGAATATCACGCTTCTCCAATTTAGTAACTCAACTATACATAATTGATCTCAAATGGTCCCTCAAGTAAAATTTGATGAAAATAAGGATACAAAGTTGATCTCGACTATACGCCATGGATTGCTAATTATTTTATTCTGCTCTGTTTTTAACTATCAAGCTGAACACAAGGTTAGCTCATGAACGAGATGAAAAATCTTATTCATGATGTCCTACTTATTCATTTTTCTAATGATGCATTCCTAAAAAACGTGTTTTGTTTGTCACGTTTACTTATAGTCGATATGTATGTGGATAACAGTCTTTTTTTGATGACCCTAGAGAGCATGAATGTTGGGAAATGAGCTTACTGTAAGCTGATCTTTTAGTGCAATCATGAGACAATTTATATATATGCATCTTGGGC